TGACTTTCACCCAGGAATGTTAGAGACCCGTTCCATACCCCATCTTCATCTTAACAAAACTGAAAAGGGTCTGCATAAGTGTTGGGATCTTCGTTCTTCTCAAAAAATTGATTTCCGAATTTGTTTTCATTTAAGTTACTGTTTTAGCATGTTTTGCTATAGTATTTTCTCAGTTTCACAAGAAATCATTATAATCCTATCGTCATAGTTGAAAGTTTTACTCTTAATTATTTGCTCGTTTGAATACTGTATATCAGTTTGAAAACAAGAATTATTCACTCTTACTCGCTCTAATTTTATTTAGATTTATTTGTTGTTTGAATAATGTATCATAAACTGTGGCATCACTATTTATATTTAATCCGGAAATAATGCACATCTTTGTATTTCTTGTATTCAATATTATTTTATTTGAATGGATGGGGTCTTTATTATTCCTGTGAATTTATTTGCCTTCTCCCCTACCCCTCCTCCTCTGTCTGTATCTCTCTCTCTATCTCTATCTCTCTCTCTCTCTCTCTCTCTCTATCTCTATCTCTCTCTCTCTCTCTCTCTATCTATGTCTCCTCTCTCCTCTCTCTCTCTGTCCATTACACTATAATTACACTTATAGAAATATATATACTTTAAACTGCTATTTAGGTTTCAGATTGAGTAATAGCCCCCTCCCCCCGTTTTCCTCTCTTACTCTTTGTATAATAGGACTTTTAAATCTAGATATTATATTTTAAAACTTTCCTATACATGTAGATTCCATCACAATTATGGCAAGATTGCTAGTATCCCAATGCATGGACTATTTTTGACTCATTAAAATCGATTTCCTGTTAAATATTTATATTAATCACAGCACCAACCCCCTCCATTTTCCTTTTATTTCTATGTAATTAAAACTCAAATGTCTCGAATTTTTCTAATTTTTTATTTAGTTACTACATATTTTCTTTATATTTGGGACCTGTATATTGCTCGTCGATACTCAATCTAATATATCTGGATTTTTTTTAAAGCATAGCCTTTTCAGTGCCATACATACATACAAATGTATCTTACCAGTACATTATTGCCTAAGTAGTTAAATGATGAACAGACAAAACAAATAAAGAAGAAAATACTGTAAAAATCAGTAATTAAATACAGATTTATGTTAGAGCAACCTGCATATTCCTATTGAAAAGAGTACCATGTTGTTCACAGTACCCGTTGCATTATTAATGATAATAGGTAACAGTTCCTGCCACAATCACCATATCGTAAGATAATCTCTAGCTCTGACATACAGTTGCAGTCTGAGCATGAGCAGATAAAGGTCATTGCAGAACATATTGTGTAATACACGGAGACGAAATACTGGATAGTTGCTCATGAAAGTTATGTAGTCATTATTTATTCATGCCCAAGCAGTGCACTCCATGATACACAGGTGGAAGTATTCTTTGAAAAGGCGAAACCGGGGCGAAACAAATATGTAGCACCTCCATCGCTGTAGGATTGAATATTTCAAAATGTACAAAGTGGGACCTCTTCATGTTTTGAAGATCTGTGGATTTTTCGGGGTCATTTCAGACATATTGTACTAATCATGAACTGGTCTATTCGGTCACATGGCTGTGACATTTATTGTTAATAAACCGTTTTGAAATAATCAAAAAAGTGTAAACAAGGCATGAAATGATTAAACCAGATTGATGAGATTGTTTTGAATAATTATGTGATGTTATTTCATGATCACCTCGATAATCATGGCTTATATTCTTTCATTCTATAGTGTAATATTTGTAAATGTATGGTAACTAGTAACAGTGGCATTAAATAATTGAACAGTATTTCTTACTATTGTAGCAGTAACGCAAAATTCTAGAAATTAATTTTCATATGTATGCATTTGTAAAGTTTTTTGATAAGGCTATGCAAAGTACAATGAAATGTAAAATGTTCTATATGAATGTACGAATTTTCTTATTGTACGAAATGTCTTCTTTGTCTTGCATCTAAAGCCTAAGCAGTTGATTTTTTAAAATTATTATTAAGCATCCTACTTGCAAAATTTAAGCAGAGAATTCCAGATAGATAAATTTAAGGAAAATGAAAAATCACTGATCTGAGATTAATTCCATCTCGGGAACGAAGTCGAAGATAGAATTTATTCTCAGTCACGTGTTGCTTATGAGTCTCAGCACAACAATATGGAATTATACATGGAAGAACTGTTCGTTAAATTGCACACAAAAAAAGCATTTCAAAATCTTTCTTTGTTTCAGCAGGTAATATAATCCTGAATATGCAATAGGGTGTATGAACCCAGACGTGGGTGAGTAAACTCTTTTGCATCAGCAACTTTTTTTTCATTTCCAGACGTGGAAGTGTTAATTAAGTTGGGTAATAATACCATAACAAATAATAAAAAATTGTACATCATTGTGCCATGCTTTAATTCCTAGTGTTGTGAGAGAACTAAAAAAAAAACATAACACAATATATTCCTGGCATAAAAAGTTTTATTGTACCTTGCAAGTGGGAAATTTTGTATGTATGTTACAACTCATAAATATAGAAATTAATACATTGTTTTTTTATAATCAATTTGTATATATCATATATTCAAGTATTTGCTCTTGTACAAAAATTGTTGAACTCTTATTTTTTCAGTATTGATATTGATATTTTGATAATTGATATCATGAACTCAGTTGGAGTACTACATACTTTATTATCATATTTAAGTTATCATACTTTCTGTTCTCAACTGGTTGTCATACTAGTTATCATTTTATACTTGTTATCATAATGTAGATTGATATAAACAAATTTAAAAAAAGCTGAATCCTTTGTTGTGAAAGAGCTATGTCATTGTTAATTTTGAATATGAAAAGATTAAAAGGGCAACGCAAGTTTCCTGTTTAAATGTACATGTACTTATATCTGTAAAGGGATGATTGCCATACCTGATATTGTATTAACGACACTTCTAATTTACCATATTATGTTGGGAACTCTTATATCCCATATCATTCTATAATTGTTAGAACAATTCATACTGTAATATAATTTGATTGTAGGTCCCCACATTCTCCTGTTAACAGATCCAGGAGCCCTCATTTTGATGAGGATGGAGGCTGTAGTCCTCCTGAAGCCTGGCCTAAGCTTGCTTGTTAGCTTGGCTTGGTGTATGTACCATATTCATGGATGCATACGTATGTACCACTGGTGAGTTAGGAACTGTCACAATCGTAGCTATACCGTAAATTGCATTCACTCTTTTAACCATGCCATACAACTTCACGTTCTCTCTAAGCAGTCTCGTCTGCTTCATCTTGTGGTTTATACCGGGAGATATAACAGGCAAGGTGCCTGTTCATGTAAATAGCAATTTGTAATGCTCCATGTTTTGTCCATCTCAAAACATCTTTTTTTTGCACTATAATGGTGGTATAATACTATAGTGCCTATACATCTGCGATGTCTGTAAACACTTTACAGAAATATGATATATGAGAAACGTGGTTACATAATGACTGACAGCTTTCATGAATAATATTTGTTGGTCTCCATGGTTAAAAGAATGTATGACTGGTATAGTGCCATCCACTGTATATTTATATGAGCGAGTATAGTTTTATTGGTAGATACTTTCCTACCATACAACATTGTTTGTCGTATTGGTAATCAATGTTCCACTATTACAACATATTTTTATGTTCAAGATGTGATTCGAAGATGTTAGCAGAATATGTAAGAGAGAGGGGAATAGGAGAAATTAATAGTGTTTCTTCAAATTGGCTTACATGTTTTTATCAAGTCAATACATCCCCCCTCTCTCTCTCTCTTTTTACATAACAATGAAGATACGTTAATCTTGTAGGACATACCAGCTTGGTGCAGCCAGGCAGTATGTAGCCTGTTCTTCCGCACATTTTCCCCCAACTGGTTTTTGGTGGTTTTAGGATAGAGATATCCTTATTGTTTGCATACAGTGGATGGTTTAGCATTGAAATACCTGCACCTTTTTAAAATCATTTTTTATTTTTTACTACAGGTGGCAAGCAAGGTATACTGGGATTCTCTTTTGGAACTATAGTGCCTTTGCCCTTTAAGGGGCCGGGGCGTTTGGTCATAATTTGTTATTAATAATATTGAAGGGGGTAAGGATGGGAGGACAGAGCCCCTCCTTGTTGAGCTAAACCAAAGGAATTAGAGGACAGTGGTAGGGAATACCCCCATCCTGAGTCAATGGATGATTTTTAAAAAAAGGCAAAATGTGTCAAAATTTACCCTTCCCCTGTACAACAATCCTTAACACAACAGATAGGGAGGAGCTTCAATCAATTGCTCCTCTCATTATCTGTTGTAAGCTAGAAGGGGAGGGGAAACGCAGAACATCATCTTCAAATGGGTCCCTCCCCTGCATACCCATGCATATATACAGATAGGGAGGAGCTTCAATCAATTGCTCCTCTCATTATCTGTTGTAAGCTAGATGGGGGGGGGGGGGGGACGCGGAACATTATCTTCAAATGAGTCCCTCCCCTGCATACCCATGCATATATACAGTGACAGGGAGGAGCCTAGCTAGTGGCATATATAAGCAGTGCTCCTACATTGATGGGCTCCTCCCATTATTACACTATGGGGGAGGGGCAATAAAGTACCTATTCCCAAATATACCACATTCGACTAATATGGGAGGGGCAAAGACTCATATGAGGAGTATCATCACCTTTCCCCATCATTTACCCCCTTCTAATTTCATCAATAGTTAAATCCTCATCCCATCAAAGTCGGTTGATGATACAAGAATTAGATTTTGAGTTCCACAATCTTAAGGATTATTTCCATTTGGTACTAGGGTGATGTCTATTTTATTGGGCATGATGATCATTCTGTCCAACAGTCATCCAATATCTGTACTATTGCATGATAGTGTAGTTATCTATCAAGGTATACTCTTCTTGCCACCTGTAACCATGGTAACTGTACTTTATGTGCCATGTAGGACCCACATGACAGGTATGATGGGGGAGAGGAGACACTTATCAAATGTCTTCATGACATCTCCAATCACATCGGTGTGGGTAGGGGCGTCAATCCATCGTTCGGGCAGACATTGCATTAGTATGTTCTGTATACAGACACTTCTGAAATTAGTTGCTAGCCTTAGGATTGACGCCCCTGGGTAATATCATTGTTTGTGTCTCAATACAATACTCGTAACTATCAATTAATGGATGCATCCTACACAATTTACTGAGACTATTTGTTTGCGAACAATGTCAATGTCATTGAAACTCTCGAAAATGCAAATGTAATATATGCGTCATTAGTATAATATGTTAATATTTTCCCTTGACCCAATGCAAAAATGTAACAATATGTATAACTCTATGATCGAATTACCAATTTGTTGAGAAAGAATATGAATTTAATTCACAAATAAAGAAAATAGTTTGTCATTATTAACCTTTGTGATGTAATACAAAATGTAATACTCAAAGATAAATTTAAATTTTAAAATGCTTACTACTGTCTCTGTTTTTATTTCCAATGAAATAAGCTTCTCAACGTTTTAGATGTTTATAATGAGAGCATGTGTGTGTTTGTGTATGTGAAAGTCTTTCATCTGCTACCTTCATTTCGAACCCTTTCCCGACACAGTCGTATCTCTACTTCAACTATCATTTTACTACCATCCTACATCTACCACCACCCTACATCCACTACCAACCAATCTCTCCTTCCCAGACCCTACCTCTACCTCTCCTCCATATACCCTACCTCTTCTCCATCTACCCTACCTCTCCTCCTTCCATCCTACCTCTCCTCCATCCATCCTATCTCTCCTCCTTCCACCTTACCTCTCCTCTTTCCACCCTACCTCCTCTCCATCTATCCTATCTCTCCTCCATCCACCTTACCTCTCCTCCATCTACGTCTTCTCCATCTACCCTACCTCTCCTCCTTCCACCCTACCTCTCCTCCATCCACCCTACCTCCCCTCCCTCCACACTACCTCTCCTCCATCCAAAACTACCTATCCTCCCTAGACCCTACCTCTACCACCCCTCCATCCACTCTACATCTACCTCCCCTCCACCCTACCTCTCCTCCTTTTATCCTACCCCTCCTCCATCCACCCTACCTCCCCTCCATCCACCCTACCTCTACCACCCTTCCATCCACTCTACATCTACCTCCCCTCCACGTACCTCCCATCATCCCACCTTACCTCTCCTCCATCCACCCTACCTCTCCTCCATCCACCCTACCTCTCCTCCATCCACCCTAACTCTCTTCCATCCAACCTACCTCTCCTCCCTAGACCCTACCTCTACCACCCCTCCATCCACTCTACATCTGTCCTCATCCATCCACCCTACCTCCTCTCCATCCACCCTACCTCTACCACCCTTCCATCCACTCTACATCTACCTCCCCTCCACGTACCTCCCCTCATCCCACCTTACCTCTCCTCCATCCACCCTACCTCTCCTCCATCCACCCTACCTCTCCTCCATCCACCCTACCTCTCCCCTCTCCACCCTACCTCTCCTCCTGCCACCCTACCTCTCCTCCTTCAACCCTACCTCTCATCCATCTACCCTACCTCTCCTCCATCTACCCTACCTCTCCCCTCTCCACCCTACCTCTCCTCCTGCCACCCTACCTCCCCTCCATCCACCCTACCTCTACCACCCTTCCATCCACTCTACATCTACCTCCCCTCCACGTACCTCCCCTCATCCCACCTTACCTCTCCTCCATCCACCCTACCTCTCCTCCATCCACCCTACCTCTCCTCCATCCACCCTAACTCTCTTCCATCCAACCTACCTCTCCTCCCTAGACCCTACCTCTACCACCCCTCCATCCACTCTACATCTGTCCTCATCCATCCACCCTACCTCCTCTCCATCTACACTTCCCCTCCTCCATCCACCTTACCTCTCCTCCATATACCCTACCTCTTCTCCATCTACCCTACCACTCCTCCTTCCATCCTACCTCTCCTCCATCCATCCTATCTCTCCTCCTTCCACCTTACCTCTCCTCGTTCCACCCTACCACCCCTCCATCTACCTTGCCTCTTCTCCATCCACCCTTCCTCTCCTCCTTCCGCCCTACCTCTCCTCCATCCATCCTATCTCTCCTCCTTCCACCTTACCTCTCCTCTTTCCACCCTACCACCCCTCCATCCACCCAACCTGTACCTCCCCTCCACCCTACCTCTATCTACCCTACCTCTCCTCCATCCACCCTACCTCTACCACCCCTCAATCTACCCTACCTCTCCTTCTACCCTACCTCTACTCCTTCTATCCTACCCCTCCTCCATTTACCTTACCTCTCCTCCATCTACCCTACCTATCCTCCTTCCGCCCTTCCTCTCCTTCATCCACCCTACCTCTCCTCCATCCACCCTACCTCTCCTCCTTCCACCCTACCTCTCCTCCATCCACCCTACCTCTACCACCCCTCAATCTACCCTACCTCTCCTTCTACCCTACCTCTACTCCTTCTATCCTACCCCTCCTCCATTTACCTTACCTCTCCTCCATCTACCCTACCTATCCTCCTTCCGCCCTTCCTCTCCTTCATCCACCCTACCTCTCCTCCATCCAACCTACCTCTCCTCCATCTACCCTACCTCTCCTCCATCCACTCTACCTCTCCTCCATCCACTCTACCTCTCCTCCCTAGACCGTACCACCCCTCCATCCACTCTACATCATTCTACCTCCCCTCCACACTACTTTGACCACCCGTCCACCCTACCTCGACCACCCCTCCGCCCTACTTCTACCACCCCTCCACACTACTTCGACCACCCCTCCACCCTACCTCTACCACCCCTCCACAGTACTTCGACCACCCCTCCACCCTACCTCTACCACCCCTCCACACTACTTCGACCACCCCTCCACCCTACCTCGACCACCCCTCCACCCTACCTCTACCACCCCTCCACACTACTTCGACCACCCCTCCACCCTACCTCGACCACCCCTCCACAGTACTTCGACCACCCCTCCACCCTACCTCGACAACTCCTCCACCCTACCTCGACCACCCCTCCGCCCTACTTCTACCACCCCTCCACACTACTTCGACCACCCCTCCACCCTACCTCGACCACCCCTCCACAGTACTTCGACCACCCCTCCACCCTACCTCGACAACTCCTCCACCCTACCTCGACCACCCCTCCGCCCTACTTCTACCACCCCTCCACACTACTTCTACCACCCCTCCACCCTACCTCGACCACCCCTCCACAGTACTTCGACCACCCCTCCACCCTACCTCGACAACTCCTCCACCCTACCTCGACCACCCCTCCGCCCTACTTCTACCACCCCTCCACACTACTTCTACCACCCCTCCACCCTACCTCGACCACCCCTCCACAGTACTTCGACCACCCCTCCACCCTACCTCGACAACTCCTCCACCCTACCTCGACAACTCCTCCACCCTACCTCTACCACCCCTCCACTCTACCTTTACCACCCCTCAAGCCTACCTCTACCACCCCTCCACCATACCTTTTCCACCCGCTCCACCCTTGCTGTCCTCCCTCTACCCTACCTTTCCTCTATCCGCCTACCTACACTCCATCGACCTACCTCCCAGATAACGATACGGCGTTGGGCCAACGTCGGCCACGGTCGGAAGGGTCGCAGTCGGCAAGCCAACGTTGGCTAATCGTTGGGCCATTGTCGCCATTTCTTACTGATAAATGGTGGCTATTGGTTGGCTCATTCGACGTTGGGCCAATGTTGGCTGAACGTTGGTCCATTGTCGCCATTTTCACTGATAAATGGTGGATATTGGTTGGCTATTCGACGTTGGGCCAATGTTGGCTGAACGTTGGTCCATTGTCGCCATTTTCGCTGATAAATGGTGGCTATTGGTTGGCTATTCGACGTTAGTCCAATGTTGGCTGAACGTTGGTCCATTGTCGCCATTTTCACTGATAAATGGTGGCTATTGGTTGGCTATTCGACGTTGGGCCAATGTTGGCTGAACGTTGGTCCATTGTCGCCATTTTCACTGATAAATGATGGCTATTGGTTGGCTATTCGACGTTGGGCCAGTGTTGGCTGAACGTTGGTCCATTGTCGCCATTTTCACTGATAAATGGTGGCTTTGGGTTGGCTATTCGACGTTGGGCCAATGTTGGCTGAACGTTGGTCCATCGTCTCAATTATCACTGATAAATATTGGCTATTGGTTGGCTATTCGACGTTGGGCTAACGTTGGCTCATTGTCGCCATTTTCACTGATAAATGTTGGCTTTTGGTTGGCTAGTCGAGGTTGAGCCAATGTTGGCTGAACGTTGGTCCATTGTCACCATTTTTACTGATAAATGGTGGCTATTAGTTGGCTATTCGACGTTGGGCCAATGTTGGCTGAACGTTGGTCCATTGTCGCCATTTTCACTGATAAATGGTGGCTATTGGTTGGCTATTCGACGTTGGGCCAATGTTGTCTGAACGTTGGTCCATTGTCGCCATTTTCACTGATAAATGGTGGCTATTGGTTGGCTATTCGACGTTGGGCCAATGTTGGCTGAACGTTGGTCCATTGTCGCCATTTTCACTGATAAATGGTGGCTATTGGTTGGATATTCGACGTTGGTCTAATGTTGGCTGAACGTTGGTCCATTGTCGCCATTTTCACTGATAAATGACGGCTATTGGTTGGCTATTCGACGTTGGGCCAATGTTGGCTGAACGTTGGTCTATTGTCGCCATTTTCACTGATAAATGGTGGCTTTTGGTTGGCTATTCCACGTTGGGCTATTGTTGGTTCAATGTTGGTCCATTGTCGCCATCACTGATAAATGGTGGCTTTGGGTTGGCTATTCGACGTGGGGCTAATGTTGGCTAAATGTTGGTCCATCGTCTCAATTATCACTGATAAATGTTGGCTATTGGTTGGCTATTCGACGTTGGGCCAATGTTGGTTGACGTTGGTCTATTGTCTCATTTATTACTGATAAATGTTGGCTTATGTTTGGCTATTCGACGTAGGGCTAACGTCGCCATTTTCACTGATAAATGGTGGCTATTAGTTGGCTATTCGACGTTGGGCCTATGTTGGCTGAACGTTGGTCCATTGTCACTATTTTTACTGATAAATGGTGGCTATTGGTTGGCTATTCGACGTTAGGCCAATGTGGGCTGAAAGTTGGACCATCGTCTCAATTTTAACTTATAAATGTTGGCTATTGGTTGGCTATTCGGCGTTGGGCCAATGTTGGCTTCATGTTGGTCCATCGTCTCAATTTTTATTTTAAATGGTGGCTTTGGGTTGACTGTTCGACGTTGGGCTAACGTCGGCTGAACGTTGGTCCATCGTCTCAATTTTAAATTTTAAATGTTGGCTTTTGGCTGGCCATTCGATGTTGGGCCAATGTTGGCTGAACGTTGGTCCATCGTCTCAATTATTACTGATAAATTGTGGTTGTTAATTGGCTAGTCGACGTTGAGCCAATGTTGGCTGAACGTTGGTCCATTGTCGCCATTTTCACTGATAAATGGTGGATATGTTGGCTAATATACGCGACGTTGGGCCAACCTTGGCTTAACGTTGGTCTATATCGTCTCCATCTTTACTGATAAATAGTGCATGTATATATTGGTTGGCTATATGACGTTGGGCCAACGTAGCAAATACGACCTAGTACCGCTACATCCGGGTAAAAAAAATGCATGCGTGCGCATGCCCATGTGCTCATGCAAATGCAACGTACGTCAGCCATATCCTGTCCATTTGTCTGGATCAGTTGCCGGGGAGTACCAACACTGCATGGTAAATGAATGATTTTCTTTCTCTTTCAACGTTATTTTTGTGAGCATGTCGCGTGAAACTTATAAATTGTATAGTGTGAGAACTCCTCGTCACAAAGCGAGGGAAATAGCATGAGAAATTGTTAAAGTAATCATTGATAATTCCCTGTCCAAATGAAAGTGAAAGTGAGTGAGTGCTCGGCGTACGCTTAGCATGCACACCCGCTGCGTGCAATTGAAGTGTGAGTGATGGCTATGATGGCTATGATGGGGGCCGAAGTGTCGGCATCAGATGTATTGAGTGTTTGCCGTGATAAATGTTAATATGTTCCTGACTTAGAGTTAGACCTAGGTAATGTATTGATGCATCATGTTGCAGCGTCCGTGACAGTGATGATGTTCATCCCAATATGCAATATCGACCATGAATCAAATGATTGTGAATCTGTTGGTGTTACAAGTGTTGAAGGTGCTGATGCATTGTTGGAAAGACCAATTGAATCAAATAGAGCTGAATGGGAAGACGCATCATTTTTTATGCATATCTAAATGATATTATAGTCTCTGATACTTTCAGATTTAGAAGTAGGTCTATACTATATACTCTGTAGTAGCTCAATATATGCTGATGATGATTCAGTTCGAAAAGGAATAAATTACGAGATTCGGCTGTGAATTAAGATATCCCGCTAGTACATGTTTCTAGCCTCCTGAAATCTTACAAGGGAGTGTGCCAAGTCTGCCAAAATATGCAAGAACTTTGTATCAACACATTTAGTGGATTGTGAGTGTGATGTGAAAGAGGTAGCTGGTGGGAATTACCCTCATTTTGGCATTTGCAATCATTTAAAGTCGCAATTGGCCACAAGAACCTCAATTTGATCAAATAGTAAATAGGAAAAACTATTGGGGGCGGGGGCAACACTGATCGATCCCATAATTTTCATTCACAATTTTCATTCACAAATTTGATTATTGCTGCATTTTTATTCTCATTTTCAAATTAGTTTTTATTGTTTATGCACATGTATATTAAATTGCTATAATTTGAACTAAAGGTAAATATTCTAATTATTTATTTTTAAATTATGACGTTCTTTATTAATACATTCAATTCTATATAGCTCTTCCAAATCCCAATACTTTTTTCTCCCATAATCCCTACAATTCTGAAATTTAAATATTAAATCCTGCATTTCATATCGTCAACTTCACAACAAATTCCAGATTCCTCTACCCGTTCAGATCCAGCTACCCCTACCTCGATCATCCAGAACAGCATCAACAGCACCAAGGACCCCTCGACATCGACCCCATCAACCTCCAGAACACTGTCGACCCCAACGACCCCATTGACCTCAACATTCAGAAATATGGGTATGTCATTTGGCATTTTATTCATTTTGTATTTAGTTATACATGTAGACAGGATAGCACTTCTTAGTATTCGTTATAGTTGTGCCCTGCACACAAAGTACAAATGTACTGGATTAATGTACGTTTGTGTAGGACATAGCTGCTAACGGATGCTAGTATCTTTTTCCTGATTATATTGAGAAACTGCATTGTGATCACTTACAAAACTATTCAACAACAACAAATCATGAAATACTGCTTATAGCAGTATTTTTTTGGAAACAATTCTGAATGCAGGGTGCCACAAAAAACAAAACACAGTCAATTGATTTGTTTCTTGTATAAGCAACTAACGATATAGCTTTGTGTTTTTGTTTCTACTTTGAAGCCCCTCGAGCTCTCTCAAGTATTGGGAGCTTACATAAATACAAAAAAAGTATTGGGAGCTTCACATTTCACTTCAATGTTATAATGATGTGAAAGAAAATGCCACTCTTCTTCAAACATTTGTCCTAAAAATTAGAAAGAATACAAACTTACTAAGGGTTTTGTGTTGTATGCAGAAAATTTTGTATTCTTTCATCCATATTCTACTTCAAACACATTTGTTAGGGCAATATTCTATTTGCAGAAGTGTCCGGGTGTTAATGACATCGTCTTTTACATCATACCATTTAAGTGAGATTGTGCCATCTATTCTTTGGCTAATTTGGGGATCCAACACTTAAGAGGGGCTTTAAACTGTTATCAATCAAGCATCTCAACACTGAGCAAACAGATACTATAAATTGGTTCTTTCTATTGAAGAATATTACTGCCATTTTACCTCAAATGTATATTTCCTTTGTTGAGAAGAGTGTTTGATGCTATTCTAATTAAACAAGACAAAAATAGAAGAAATCCATTCCTTTCTAATTTCCATACGTCTGGGTCATTCGCTCTAAAGTTTGAACGAAGTTATTTTCATGACAAAGTACTTCTATCCATGAAATTTCATCAAAACTAGGGAGGATGTGCCACTCAGGACTACTTCCCTTGAATGCCGTACTATTTGATTAATATCCGTACTATTTCAAGGTGATGTTTCCATAATCTGCTTTTAAATCTTGTTTGGTTTCTTTCTTCTTCTTTTTTTTTGCCGCAGATGTCGAAGTTGTACCACCACAAGCTAGACAAGATTTTGATTCCGACTAACCCGTTCTTTAAAGGTCAATTGCCTTAGGAAATTAAAACTTTTATGTCTTGTATCAAGACCCTTTTAAAGCAACATAATAACAATTGTTTCATAAATAAATGCCTCCTTATATTTTTTACAATTTTTTGAAAACCTCTCCAAGTTGCTCGTCTAATGGTGGACCCCGCCCCTTACAATTCTCAGAGTTCCTCGGAATGATTGACCAAAGGATTAGTGATGTTATATCAAGAACGATCTCCGCTTAGGCAAGCTACGGTGCTTGCTAGCCAGCTCTGCAGGCATTATGTTTTGTACACAAACATAAACAATAACTTTTGTTATTAAATAGTGTGCTATGCATGTTTACTTGTTATTTATTGTGGTGAAATTTCACTAATTGCCCAATTTTAAAAAGAGAGCTATACCATGAGTCGAAGAAGGTCGTAATTGATTTGAATGCCTGTATAACGTGTCAACTAAATGCATGCTATAAAGAATTTCAAAGGTAAGAAAAAATGTTTCATATATCTAAGTGACTGAATGTTTTTCGTACTACCTTCTTCTCAATTTAAAGAAATATTGAAAGTGGTATATCAGAGTGAAGAAACTTGTGTTTTTCCCTTTACAAGCTCTGCTCTTTCTTACTTCACTTTAAAATTTCCTCTCTTGTTATATAAACATTTAGCGATTGCTTTACTTCACACATTCAAGCAATGTATACTATCCCTCCTAAAACACATAGAAAAAACACCTCCTAACAATAGATATGGCGACGAAATGTATCAGCATCTCTGAAATGCCTAAGCATAAAAAATGTTGGCAATTTCTCTGAAATTTATTTTTTAATTTTTTATGGAACATTGTTTACATTAATTGCCCAGTTCTTGGTATGCAAATGGTGGACACTTTATTCATTTCTTTATATTTTTGTGCTGTACATATGTAGAGGAATCTTGTCATAAGCAATCGTGTTCGTCTGCCAGAAAGTTTGTTTTGTTTTACTCGGGAAGTTGCGAGGATTGTTTATTATATTCGTACAATGAATTTCAGTATGTTATGTTGTGTTACGTGTAAGCGACAATTCATTTTATAACAGCTCCTATCGTCCTAGCATTCATTGATAGTAGGCCTATATTGTGACACATTGAGATACCTTGAACTTTAAACTATGTTTACATCTTTTTCGAATTCAAACGAAAATACAAAAGAAAGATGTACAATAATTGTATTCACATTTACCACAGTTTGTTTATTATTACACATAAAATAAAGTATGTTTTATCACAAAATCAGTTTATTTTCCTTGTTCTTTTGTTTTGGAGGGATGTCAAGTTTTGAAATTGTTACTATCTTCATTTTGTGGATTTTGCTCTGTTTATTTATTTAATCCAATCTTAAACTACTTGGCTTTTCCTTGTCACGTTGTGATGCATGTGTTTGAATGATTGTACATGTCCGATGTAGTATGATCTTAACGATGTTCTTATGAACGGACGACCGATGTTGGTGTGAATATGTTTTTTGAGTTGGTGTTGGTAATGTCAGAAGGATGTTGGCATGAACTGGAAAGGGGAGGTACAACGTCGGCACATGGTGGGATACGGGTTGGCATAACGTTGCTTCTACGTCGGCAAATGGTGGAGAAGAGGTTGGCATAACGTTGGTCTAGCATTGGCACATGGTGGAGGAGGGGTCGGCACTTGGTGCGAAAAGGGTTGGCATTATGTTAGGACAACGTCGGGGAGACGTCGGCACATAGTGTAAAAGGGGTTGGCATTACGTTGGTCCTACGTCAGGGAGACGTCGGCACATGGTGGAAAAGGTGTTGGCATTACGTTTGTCCTATGTCGGCATATGGTGGGATAGGGGTTGACATGACGTTGGTCATACGTCGGGGGGACGTTGGCCCGATGTTGGCTTAATGTCATTTCGTCGCTGTCGAGCCAACGTTGGCCCGCCGGCAAGAAAGCCGTTGGCCCAACATCACATTGGCGACGATGGCGCAACGTAACAGCCCACGACGTCGGCACATGGTGGGATAGGGGTTGGCATAACGTTGGTCCAAAGTCGGAACTACGTCGGCACATGGTTGAAAAGGGGTTGGTATAACGTTGGGCCAATGTCGAGGAGACGTCGGCACATGGTGGGATAAGGGTTGGCATGACGTTTATCCAATGTCGGAACAACGTCGGCACATGGTGGGATAGGGGTTGGCATAACGTTGGTCGTACGTCGGCACATGGTTAAAAAGGGTTGGGACGACGTTGGTCCAATGTCGGAAAGACGTCGGCATACGGTGGAAAAGAGGTTGGCATAACGTTGGTTCAATGTCGGGAGGACATCGGCACATATGGTCGGATAGGGGTCGGCATAACGTTGGCCCGATGTTGGCTTAATGTCATTTTGTCACTGTCGGGCCAACGTTGGCCCGCCGGCAAGAAAGCCGTGGGCCCAACATCATGTTGGCGACGTTGGACCAACGTAACAGCTTACGTTGGCCCCACGTTGGCGTAACGTCGCATTGTTATCTGGGCTGTACCGCCTCTCTTCCACGTCTCTACCCTACCTTCTACATCCCTTCTTCTACCACCCCTCCACACTACTTTGACCACCCCTTCACCCTACCTCTACCTCTGGTTTTACTCTGAAAATTAAAAATGACTTTCCTAAGAGGTGTTGGAAGCGGTCTAGGAGTTTAATTTCTCGTCATTTTCTCTTTTCCTTATCCTTTTCCTTCTCTCTCGCTTTTACTTTTCCTCCCTCCCTCTCTCTATCTTTTTGCTCTCTCTGTACATACATCCTTATAATATAACCCTTACGAAGACCATTATATACTTTTAATGCATGCATACAGTGGCGGATCCAGGGGGCGGGGGCCTCCCCCCCCCCCCTGGGAAAAATCATGTAAAAACACGTGGTTTTTAGCTTTTTGGGGGATCCCCCCCCCCCCCCCCCCCTGGCGCTCAAGGGGGGGGGGGGTGCAAATTTTCTAATTTTCGAGGGCCCTCCAAAAAAATGTGCTGAAAGTATAAAGCGCATTTTGTCCAATTATGTACTCAAAATTTAGTTTAAAGATCATACGATCATAGTGTTTAGTAACCCCCCCCCCCCCCCCCCCCCCCCCTCCCCACTCCGTGAACAGAGGGATACCATGCGTGTATACGTTCCCCAAATGTCCGGTAAAAGGGTACTTTTCACGCACCGGCTCGTAGTACACAAAAATCCGGCCCGTATTGACTTTACACACCGGACTTAGGGGGGTGTTTTCAAAAGGAGGGAACATGCATATGCGTACCCTAAATAACACTAATCTAATCTATAATGCCGTTACCGTCAGCCGACAAGTGCACAATTTTCTTTTCCCTTTTTTATTGTACGATTTAGAGATACTATAGGGCTCATTATTGGTGACTAGCCTCTTTCCTATTGGTCGCCAGTTTCAACGAGCGCGACTACACGGTCTATTACCGAACGTACCGACACTCGATTCAACTCAGAAACTTAGAAATAGAAGGTGAGCGTCATACTTTTATTAATTTATGGTGATTTCATAGAAGTATCATATTGATCAATGTTGTTCGTTGCTTTTGCTAAAAAATTGATCACAAGTGCAAGGCAGACAAGCGCAAATATCTGGCACCCGGCCCAGTTCAGTTTCGGGGTCAATACCGACTCTGTCCTTCCTTCGCACCCGGAGCTCCGGCGGGATAGGGAAAGGCGCGCCCGTTGCTCGTCTTGGCTGAATCGACCCTTTCCTACTAGAGTAACTAGTATTACCCACAGGGGCGGCGATTTCTTTTCATGACCGGGGGGGGGGACGAAACGCATAATGAGCAAAAAAAAAATTGGGGGGGGGGGAGGGGGGAGAATTTTTTTGAATCATCACCGCTCTTACATGTTACATGCAGGCCCCACGGAACGTTTTTCAAAGTGGGAGGGGGGGGGGGCTAAAGTATTTGCGATCAGAATCAGGTAGAGCAAAGCAAGTGGCGCGTAAATTGGCGTGGGGTCCAGGGGCAAAGCCCGGTGGGGGTCAAGGGGCAGAGCCCCATGAAGCTCAGGGGGCCGTTTCTCGAAACCAACTCCATGACAGTCATATCTTTGTCGGCGACCTACGGAGATGTCATGAAGCGGATAAACCGTAAAGTATTTGCGATCAGAATCAGATAGAGCAAAGCAAGTGGCGCATAAATTGGCGTGGGGTCCAGGGGCAAAGCCCGTTGGGGGTCAAGGGGCAGAGCCCCATGAAGCTCAGGGGGCCGTTTCTCGAAACCAACTCCATGACAGTCATATCTTTGTCGGCGACCTACGGAGATGTCATGAAGCGGATAAACCGTTTCACAAAGCCATGACAGACATGATATCGATATATCGCGATACTAGCAGCTCAAGAACGTAGTCTTTGTCAGGATCCATTTGATTTATCAAGAATAACCCAAAACAAGTTTTGGGGCTAAAATTGTTCCAAAAGAAATATATACATATAAATTCTCCTAAAATAAATAATAAATAGTGTCATTATCATATTTACATCATCAAACAATTTGCATATTTCTGTAAAGATTCTTAAATTGAAGAAAAACCGGTGAGTGTTTTTTTTCGACGGTCGAATCAAAAGTTAGTTGAAGGATACCGTAATGTGATAGTTTATCAATACGTACTTTTTTGTTTATTGTGACGAGGAATTTTAGGCAACATGTCTTTTCTCAGCCAGTTTTTATTCTAGAGTCTCATAAATACTCGTGATATAATTGATTTGATATTGAAAATATAATTTGGAAGAAGTAATTAGAGAGGGAATAATAATGCACATAGGCCCCAAAGGTATGACGGTATCCTAAGAAAAGACTGGATCAACTATGGAAAACGGTGTGTAACATTCTTACCTCTCTTATTTATATGTTATAGTTTAATGATTTGTGATTTAATGTTTATATTCAGCTTTTTAAAGTTTCTGTATAATTTGTATTCTCACTTTTGTACATTTGCATTTCGCATCCCAGAGAATTACGTACCGAACTCGTCTATATTTTTCTCAAAATGATAGTAAAACTAATCGTCCATTTCGCGGCCCATGGAATGGCAACAAACTGACTTGTGATGGCGCTTTACAGCAATTAAAAAGATATGACAGGTTCGGAGCAGTGACAACTCGCTTGTCGCGGAAGTTGTCGCTCATCTTGGCAAAGACGGCTTCGTGAAACACTTAGCTGACAAGTTGCGTGACAGTGGCGAGATGTCGTTGATCTTGTAGTTATGACGGTTTCGAGGAACGGCCCCCAGAGTTTTTAGGCATTGAATAAGGGTCAGATGAGCATATTTTGATACCTTATTTGTGACACTTGCATGCAGGTCACTAATTGGAGTGGGCCCAGGGGCGAAGCCCTCAGAAGCTCAACGGTTTTAGACATTAAATTACGATCAGATGATCATCCAAGGGCTCGCTTAGGGCCCTGGTGGGGGTAAGGGGGCAGAGCCCCCGGAAGCTCAGAGAAAATCATGCCATTTCAGCAACTTTTGTAAATTAGTCACTGGTATCGAATTAGAAATAAACCACATTTGAATTTTATCGGGGGGGGGGGGAACTGCCCCAAGCCCGAGTGAGTGAGAATAGTGAACGAGAGGGGTGAAGGTGCGGACAGCTACCCCCTCACAGGTTTTGAAGTTTTGTTGTATTACAAATTATATTCCTTAGGAAAACTATAGTATGAAAAGAAACAATTTATATTTTTCACATTCACTTTTCTACATTTTGAACATTTTGAAGGATATGCGAGGGAGCTTAGCTCCCGAGCCAGAAGATTTTTTCATTTGTATATGTCTAAATGCTGCACTCTTCGGTTCTCCAAAGCATAATAGTGTGTTTGCAGTCTTTAGTCAGTATTTGCTGTACATTATTTTTTTTGCACTTTTTCAAATTTTCCGGGGGGGGGGGGGGGGGGGGGTCCCCCCCGTCCTCCCGGGATCGCCGCCCCTGATTACCCAGGCCATGATTATACATAGTCTAGATAGAGTCTATAGATCATCGGCCAGATCATCTAGGCCTACACCGTAAGCCTACTTCAGTCTATGTATAGAGGCAGTCAGAGGAGCCATGGGCCCGTTTCATGAAACCAACACCATGACAGTCATATCTTTGTTGGCGTCCTATTTCACAAAACCATGACATGAGTCATGAGACATGACAGACATGATATTGACATATCGCGATACTATCAGCTAAACTAGATCTAGTCTTTGTCACGATCCATTAGTACATTAGGGCCTAGATTTATCCCGAAATACCCCCAAAACAAGTTTTGGGGTTAAAAGTGTACCAAAAAAAATATAGGTCTACTAGTACTAGACCTAGACCTATGTAGAATCTAGGCCTAGATCTAGGCCTACATTCTCCTAAAATAGTAGACCATGTTTGTTGATATTTAGTGCCTTTTCATGACTTTGAAATTAATAATATTGGTCTAAGAGAAGAGGCAAAACATGCGGGCCGCCATATTGGATTATAATGCATGCCTACATTATAATCCAATATTATTAATTTCAAAGTCATGAAAATGCACTAAATATCAACAAACATGGTCTACAACAACTCCAAATGACAAAATAAACCTAGCCGTGAATTTTTTTGAGCATTTGATAGCCAAAAACTTGAAAATTTTCGTCATTTAAAAAAAAAATCAAAAAAAATCAGCCGATTTTTTTAGTTGATCTTCCGATCCGATACTGATCATAGGTGCGAGGGTGTCGCTCCGATCTTCCGATCCGATCTGAGCCCCAACTTACAGGGTTACATAACACTATCTCTATCTTATCGCATGCTCCCCCCCCCCCCCACTCTCTCTCTCTCTCTCCCTCCCTCTGGCTTTCGCTCACCATATTCTCTCTTTTTCCTTCCCACCATTGACTCTCTCACTTCTACCTTCTACCCCTGGGGCCCTGGCAATCATCCCCCTCTCTCTTCCTCTCCTCCCTCAGTCATATATATCATTTTCAGGAGCTCTTCTCGCTCTCCATCCGTCACATCCAAAGAAACGCAACATTTAGGCAACAGGCATACAACTGATTTTGTACTTTTAATTTATTTTTATGCCTCCGTTACGAAGTAGCCGGAGGCATTATGTTTTCGGGTTGTCCGTCCGTACGTCCCGTTCTCGTGATCGCGTTATCTGAAGAACCGATTGATGGATTCCTGCCAAACTTTGGTCATGTATGTATCTTGCAGAGCCGATGAACTGATTACCGTATTTGCCGGCGTATAGGCCGCAGTATTTTTGGAAGAGAAAATATCAAAAAGTCGGGGTGCGGCCTATGCGGCGAAAGAGTAATTTTTTTTTTTTTTTTTTTTTTTTTTTATAGTTTCGATTTATGGCGCTATGCCTGGCAATGTCTCCCAGCTCAGTAATCAGTGTGTTGACTCACCACTCGGAAACTACAACAACACTAAAATTTGACTGTCATCTTGGTTTGAAAGTAATCTTTCTTATAGATCTCAATATGTAGTTTATAATAATAGTTCCTCAAATTTTTTTCTATAACAAATGGTGTACCACAAGGTACACCACTGGTACCATAGGTACTTTATTGTTTTTAATTAACATTAATGATCTTACACATTCTTCTAAAAACGACATTGTTACTATTATTTGTGACAAGTTTACAAGCACAAATCAGCGCCTTTAACTGCACCTCGATGTTAAATGAAGGTCCTTCCACGCGTGGGTTTTCGGCAGCAAAACAACAACAAAAAAGCAAAAACAAAAAACGTTTTTTTTTTTTTTTTTTTTTTTTTTTTTTTTTTTTTTTAATGTCAAAATCGGGGGTGCGGCCTATGCGGGGGTGCGGCCTTTACGCCGGCAAATACGGTAGATTTTGAGGTCACGAGGTCAAAGGTCAAAGGTCACAGGACTCATTATGTATGCAAAAACAGCTCGTGATCGCGTTATCTGAAGAACCGATTGATGGATTCCTGCCAAACTTTGGTCATGTATGTATCTTGCAGAGCCGATGAACTGATTAGATTTTGGGGTCACGAGGTCAAAGGTCAAAGGTCACAGGGCTCATTATGTATGCAAAAACAGCTCGTGATCGCGTTATCTCAAGAACCGATTGATGGATTCCTGCCAAACTTAGGTCATGTATGTTACTTGCAGAGCCAATGAACTGATTAGATTTTGGGGTCTTGGTCAAGGTCAAAGGTCATGCGGCTCATTATGTATGCAAAAAATAGCTTGTGATCGTATTATCATTAGAACAGATTGATGGATTCCTGCCAAACTTAGATCATGGATGTATCTTGCAGAGCCAATGAACTGAGTAGATTCTTGGGTCATGAGGTCAAAGGTCAAATGTCATGGGCTCATTATGTATGCAAAAATAGCTTGTGAACGCATTCTCATTAGAACTGACAGATGGATTACTATTTAACTCAGGACATCTTGCAGAGCCAATGAACTGAGTACATTTTAGGGTCATGAGGTCAAAGATCAAAGGGTCATATATGTATATGAGAAATTGCTTTTTGGTTTGTAAACTTGCTCTATGACGGAGGCATCATTTTCGACTGCGCGCAGTCGAAGTTCCATCTAGTTTCTTTTGTTTTTTCAATTCCAAAGTTTTCTTAGCGATCATAATCGCTCTTCTTCAAGAAACCATTTCGCCTTCTCTTCGGCCTGCCGTTCTTTCTCCACCTGAAAATAGAAGATATGGAGATAAAATGATAGCCTAAATGGGCATATTTAATAACTCAAGGTTCATTCCCATTGCGCATTTCATGTTATACAATTATCAGCTTTGTTTACCAGAAATGATAATGATGAAAATAAAACATTGCTGTTTTCAATTAAGGGTACTCTGGTTTGCTTACAATAATAATGGCTTGAATGGAAGAAGAAAATGTGAATTAAATTTCAAAATTCCTAAGGAACGTCCACAAAATGCCTATCCATAAGCCTACATGCACGTACATGGCTAATTCAGTTCCACCCCCCCCCCTCCCCAAATGAATAGATAGTCAATGAAATATGACCAATAAGGCAATGAGTAGGTCACCTTCCAAATATTATTGAAACTAAAATGACAGACAAGTGAACAGTATGAGCCTCGTAGTAGATCAATGCTAAGGGATTCATGCTTTATAAAGAATGAGCATCCCAGAGAATTACGTTCCGAAATCATTCATAATTTTCTCAAAATGATATTGAAACTACGGTAATCCTATATTTCGCGGCCCATAGAATAGCAACAAACTGACTTGTGGTGGCGCCTTACACTAGTTTACAGCAATTAAAAAAGATATGACAGGTTTGGAGGAGTGACAACTCACTTGTCGCGGAAGCTGTTGCTTATCTTGGCAAAGACGGCTTTGTCAAACACTTAGCTGACAAGTTGCGCGACAGTGTCGAGATGTCGTTGAACTTGTTGTTATGACGGTTTCGAGAAACAGCCCCCCGATGTATTCTCAGCGAAACAACCGTCGATACCATTATCTGAGACTGAAGCTTTCGGTCTACTCTAAGGCTAGTCTAGATGCTAATGCTACCACTAAGGCATTAGCCTCTGACTATTTGAGTCGTGCACGGCCGTGTGTGTTTTGTAATTGGGTTCTTACAGACAGATATAATTATTGTAGGTATCAACAGAAAGACTAGACGAGACTTTGTTTACCTGCATACCCTGCATTGTTGTTCTATCACTATGAACATGACGGACAAAGAAAGAGGACAAAATATACAATTCCTCATTCTACCCTCAACAATTGCTGTGGTAGACAAAGGAACATCCCTTCACTGCTATTATGTAAAAATGTGTAGAACAGGTGTCACATGCATATTCACCTGTTCTACACATTTTTACATAATAGCAGTGAAGGGATGTTTCTTTGTCTACCACAGCAATTGTTAAAGGGTAGAATGAGGAACTGTATATTTTGTCCTCTTTCTTTGTCCGTCATGTTCATAGTGAATGTGTACAACTGTACATACCCATTTTTGCGATTCTCATGATGAGTCATTTTCAGAAAGTTTCCACTATTTATGTTTACATTTTGCCGGCCTATAAAGGCTATACGGTATACCACAGCTTATAATCATTATAGGATAAACATTCACAACGATTTTAAAATATTTTCTCAAGATGAAGTTAAACTGGAACTTATGGAAGTAGATCTACTCCAATTTGGCTTTAAACTTTTATCACACTTTAGATCTCAATCTACAAGCAACACCATCATGACAAAGAAGGAGCACAACGATCGGATGAATATGAAGAAACCGAGAAGAAGATCTCCTCCGGGTTCATCCTCTTGGTGGGAGAATATACTGCAGTATGACCGGCAATGGACCCAGCGTTGGGGTGTATGTGCTACCAAGGAATCCACCTCAGGACGGCTTCGTCCAGTCATGAAGGTAATAGTAATAGTGGTGGGGTGTATGTGCTACCCAGGAATCCACCTCAGGACGGCTTCGTCCTGTCATGAAGGTAATAGGAATAGCGGTGGGGTGTATGTGCTACTAAGGAATCCACCTCAGGACGGCTTCGTCCAGTCATGAAGGTAATAGGAATAGCGGTGGGGTGTATGTGCTACCAAGGAATCCACCTCAGGACGGCTTCGTCCAGTCATGAAGGTAATAGGAATAGCGGTGGGGTATATGTGCTACCGAGGAATCCACCTCAGGACGGCTTCGTCCAGTCATGAAGGTAATGGTAATATGAAGTTAAATGTGAAAGTAATAGTAATGTGAAGGTTAATGTGAAAGTAATAGTAATGTGAAGGTAAATGTGAAAGTAAATGTGAAAGTAATAGTAATATGAAGGTAATAGCAATATGAAGTTAAATGTGAAAGTAATAGTAATATGAAGGTAATAGCAATATGAAGTTAAATGTGAAGGTAAATGTGAAAGTAATAGTAATATGAAGGTAATAGCAATATGAAGTTAAATGTGAAGGTAAATGTGAAAGTAATAGTAATATGAAGGTAATAGCAATATGAAGTTAAATGTGAAGGTAATAGTAATATGAAGGTAAATGTGAAAGTAAATGTGAAAGTAATAGTAATATGAAGGTAATAGCAATATGAAGTTAAATGTGAAGGTAAATGTGAAAGTAATAGTAATATGAAGGTAAATGTGAAAGTAAATGTGAAGGTAATAGCAATATGAAGGTAATAGCAATATGAAGGTAAATGTAAAATTAATAGTAATATGAAGGTAATAGCAATATGAAGATAAAATTAATATGAAGGTACATTTACACAATGTATTTGAAGGTAATAGTGATAAAAGTAATAGCGATAATAATGAAGGTAATAGTTTACTTGTATACGAATGTCATTCATAGCATTATATTAAAGGGTAATAGTAATAATATGAATGTAATAGTAGTAAGAAGGTAGTGACGATGTTCAGTTAATGCTAATATGACTGCTTGTTTAAAATAAGTCGGTACCGGAATGTAATTCACCACAAATTTGTAGTATTCTGTAGCCTATTTTATTTCTTAGTTAATTTTCTTATATCTTATGTTTTTTAATTCTGAAGGGTCTTGAGATCTCTGGGCATGGCCTTCCGTGGTTCACCATCTTACTGGCGATCCTCTATCAATCTTACCTCTCCAAGAACTCAGTTGTCTTCAATCCGACTGCAAACCTAGTCCTCGGTAAGAAAGGCGTATCCACATTGGGGCTTGAACACATATGAATGTTAATCTCTTTGGAAAATGCCCCATGTGGCAGAATAAAACCATTTTATATATAAAATGAATGGCAAGTGAAGGGGGGGGGGGGGAAGAATAAGAGCTATGCACAACTCAAAGATGCGTCTGAGCATATACATGTATGACATCTGTTTGTGGTAAGAGAAAGATTTTGGACACATTTTATGCTTGTATTAGCTGCCGTGGTTTTTCTTATAGGTGGTTTACTGTCGTGTGTGACAGCGGCTTGAAGGGAAATTTCAGGGGACTGTTGAATCCAGTGAGAGAATATGCATCTATAGTACCACAAAAGGTATGAGTTATGTTGTGATTTGATCTCTCAGAGGTAACAGGTGGAAAAGTAAAGTTGGAGCAAAGAGGAGAGTGGTCTGCCACTTCATCAAAGTGAAATGGATTTATACTTTGTTACCAACTCTTTAAAAATTGTGTCTTTTTCTTTACTTTTATTAATCTGCTTCTATATCATTGTGATTGCCTCTCTCACAGGAATGCTGCTAGACCTGCTCGTCAGCTTCATCTTAAAAGGAACTGTGCGGCGCCCTCGCCCAGCCTTGAACAAGCCAGACATGCTCCTCACCGTCTCCGTTGATAACTACTCCTTCCCCTCAGGCCACTGCACGAGGGCAGGGTTTGTGTTCTATTTCTTCGTAACAACATTCACGTTACCGCTTCTTATGCAATTTCTCCTCTTGCTATGGATGTCCGCTGTTTGCATCTCGCGTGTGCTCCTCGGCCGACACTACTGGAGCGATGTTATATGTGGGACTATCATTGGACTACTTCAGGGCTTGTTTATACAAAGGAACTGGAAAACGTGGGACCTTACAGAGGATTTATGATCTCCAGCCAGCCATTGATATCGTACCTGTCATAAAATGTTGCAATCATAAAAAGTACAGTGTAATATTACCTTCATGAATGTCAGTATTTCATTTTTACCAGAAACAGTTCTGTGATTAGGATTCATGTATGCCATTATTCTTTCAATTTTGTGATAATTAACTTTGTATCAACATGTATGTAACTTTTATACTGTGAAAGGAAATCCATGCAATATTGCAGTATTGTGATGCCCTATGGCATGCTTAGAGAATGACAAAGAAGAGCCATTATCAAATGAGAAGGCCAATGTAATTTAAAAAACTAACAGAGAGATGTATTTTTTGCAAGATTATGCATTAACTTTTTGTAAGAAGGATTCCTGTTTCTGCTAAAGTTAACTTTGATTTCTGGTACACTGCATAATGAAACATGAATATGCTTTTAGTCTTACAAAGTTCCATCTGGGGAAGGGGGCGGAGGCGGAGGGAGGGGGGGGGGGTACTCGCCTAATACAGTATACCTGTATGGTACAGAGAATACAAGCAGCCCGGCTTGTATGCTCTGCACCTATCAGGGTCCATACCAGACCTTTGTGATATGAACTACACTGCCTGCCAGTATATTGAGACGAGCCCTCAAAACCATGCTATTAATGTACAAGGCTCTTAATCAACAGTGTCCAGAATACAACAGTAATTGCCTGGTTCATCACCCCCATACTCACCTTGCACGTCTTTCATCTTTTTCATGGTTGACTGAGCCTCACTCCTAGAAACGTACCAGAGACATTGCTTCCCCTTTGGTTGCTGCAAGGCTGTTGAACAAGCTACCCACCACGCTGAAGACTGCTACATTTCTGGACCAGTTCAAGAAACTTTTGAAGGCCCATTTAATCTGTTTGAGAGCATCAATTGTTATACATGTACATGTATTTTTATATTGGCTCAACTGGTGTTTTTGAAAGTGTTGATTTCATTCTTAAATCCGTCCTTATACTCCGTACGTCATGAAGCAAATTGTGAAGCGCTTTGTAACTGCAAGGAAAAGGCGCTACATGTATATCAAACACTCTTTGGATTCGGTTGCTTGTTTGCAAAAAATTCCATAACATTGCCTAGAGTATGATTTTTATGTCAGAAGTTCCTAGGAATGGCCCCACTTTTTTAATCTTGGCCGTATTCCTGGTAAAGTGCAAATCCCAGATGAAAAATAATTGAAATCACTATTCATCCATAGTCCTTTCGTTTTTTATGAAAATGACCATGATTTGGAGCCTTGAGCCGCATATCCCCATCCAAATCAAATCAGAGTGCCCTACCCCAGTTCCATATGGATGAATAGAAATCTCTTTCATTCCATCCACCATATAAGAACTTCGGTGTAGGCCTAAGCTTCACAAGAAACCCCTAGAAACTAGCTAGAAACAGCCCAAACCCCAAATCAGTGCACAACTGCACAACTAATAAGGCAGGTCTAAGGCATGTGGTAAACCGCCGCAAAAAAGCCACCATGTTTTTGTCAACATTACTTTGTATATTTTGATTTTTATATTGCGAAATCAAATTGAATTGAACGTGTGAGATGAATGGCAAAGGATTTGAATGTGAAGTGCTTTACATTTTTACCTCATAATTTTCCAAATGTCACATCTGAACGAGCCTTAGAGGGCAATCCAACCCTTGTAATAAGTTCATTTGTATGGAAGCAGAAAAATAACAGAAACAGAATGGCAAAAGTTTGAAATGAATCGGACCAATATGAAGTTATGAATGTTTGAAATATGAGATCACTAATAAAGTCTATGCAAATCTCAAATAGGTAGTTCGGTCAGTGGATTGTGACGTAGGACGTTGATAAATCTCCTATTTGCCATGTACAAAAATACCATTAATTTCTGTTTTTCTGGTAAGTTCCTGATGCCTTGGGGCACTACTCAAAAGATATCAGAGATAGAATATTATTATAGGTCTTCTAAAAAGAATGTACCCTCCTGAGAAATGAACTTTTTATAAATTCGAATTTTAGTCAATTTATATGTTGGAACAGATGGGAAAGCAGTCCTGCACTACATCACACCACATTGACATTACCGCTTCAGCCAATTTGAAGTGCCCATACTTATATTGATTACCGGTACAACTTTCTAATATTCAGTCAGATACTCAGATTTAATTGAAACTTTCATCAGTTTGCTTCTCTGAATTTTCTGCTTTCTTTTAGAGTAGATGTCTATTTGGGTTGGGTTTTCCTTTAAGAAGTTACCAGGTACTGTGCAGTTGTGAACGTAAATTGACAAGTGTTACCAAGTATTTTACTCCATAAATAGTCTGATCTGAGCTCCAGTATAGCTGTGAAATGAATGCAATGATGAGTGATGAACTTAACCTTAGATGTGGTCAGTAATGTAAGGCACAAAATAGCTTGCCCAATAATCCTGTGAAATAAAATACATGAACAGTTAACTCTGTACAACTTGAAGCTGTTGGGACCGCAGAAAAAATAGTTTGGGTTAAAATATGCAAAGTTTGACATACCATAGGAAGTGTAAATAACACATTTTTACATAATAGATTAATACCGACTTAGGGAAAATTTGACTTTTGCGACTTCAAGTTATGCAGAGTTAACTGTATTTGTACAAGTTACATGAAGATGGAGACATTAACTCCAACCAACTGTATATACACTAGTAATACTATATAGATCTTTGTACTTGTATCAGTAAATTGTTATTTATGCAATTACCTGCAAAAACCATGAAATTGGTTTTATTCTATTAAATGCAAATCATTTGTAAAAGAAGTGAATCTATTACTCCCTTCATTTTATCTGTGCAATGATCAAGGTGGTGGCAATGTAGCGGCTTAAATCATGTATTGAATGATCATCATGAAATGGAAGTCTACATCTAGCATCACTTTATTAGAAACAGACTTTTTAGAGAGAGAAATGGAGCAAGGAAACTAGAGAAAAAGAAAGGAAAGGAAAGAGTGTATGGAGAAAAGAGAAATTTTACAAAGAAAGAAGAGGAAAAATTGCAAGAGAGAAGAAAGACAGGAGATAAAGGAAAGGACATTTTTTTTAAAGTTAAGAAGAGTAAGAAAAGGAAAGGAAAGGAAAAGAAAAAATATTTATTATAAAAAACGAACATAGCAAAGTAAAATGAGTTTATACAGTGCATTTCACATTTCTGTATCTCAACACATATCCTTTTATACGGTCCTTTGTTCATTGCATCCTCTTTTTTTTCCACCCTGCTTGCCATTCATTTATGTACACATATAATATTAATATTTTTGCTGTAGGGCCTTTATAGATGAAGTTGGAGTTCTTGGGCCCCGTTTCATGGAACTTGTTTTTGATAACTGCCACGTCTCAGACACATCTACTCCTAGCTAATCAAAGTTAAGGATTTCAGTAGATAATAACAGTTATTGTATCTTGTTATTGAAAGCAAGCTTAATGAAACGGTGCCCTGGTCATACACTTGTGGAATTCAAAAAGAACACTAGATTCTTTTTAGAAAGGTTGATTATGTATAAATGTAGTACATGAGAAATAATGTGTACTATAAGGTGTTGGAATCGCTAAAATAAAAAAATTGATTTAGTCGTGCTGAAAGTCACTTGTATGATGGCACATATAAATGGGTGTGTGGGACTACACACATGGGGCATGAAAGTTTGGTCCAAACTGTTTCTCTCCTCATCATATTTCAAATATGAGGGCATTCACACTTCAAGGGACATTTCTTTTGTGATTCTCTTCAAAACTGAAAGGATATAAGTACCAGAAAGCTCATTTCATTTATTTTGTTCATCTTTACTTATACTCAACCTTCTCTAAGCTTCCCTAAAAACAACAGCTTGCTCATCAAAATACAGAGCTCTTCTTTCTTCCCCTCATTCACAAAACCGACCAAAAAATAATACTTCAACTAGGCATTTGGTAAATCCAGTTTCTTTATAATAAAAAAAATAACAACGAAGATACACTGATATCATTCATATTATTAATGACATTTTGAAAATAAATTAACCACTGCACGACACCCAATATTTAATTTCTAAATAATAAGAAAGAACCTTTGACGTAATAATCAAACTACATGTACTATTGCATACATACAACACAATCATAAAATGCTGTTTTATAATTAATAAAAGTGCTGTTGGTAAAAGTCACAAATTTTCCATGTTCTTCATAAACCTACTTAAGATTACTAAGGATAGATAACAACATCCATCACTGCGTTTTGTTCCAGTCATCTTGAATTATGGATAACAAATATTGAAAGGATAAAATATAAAGTGCTGTACATTGGAAATTAGTTATAAATAGCTTTGATATCATGAGACACCTGATAAAACAAAGAAATTCTACTGGTCCAAGCTCTTTATAGTGACTTTTTTTTACCCTGATAAAGCAAGATACATGGAACAGTGAAACCTCTCTTTAGAGACCACTTGTATAGAAAGACCACATCTTTTGTTTCCCTTGAATATGGTTTCTCATTGAAACCTGCACATAAAAACCACCTACCTTTAAGAAGACCACTTTTTCATGTTTCCTTCTTTATAGTGGTCTTTATATACAGGTTTCACTGTAAAAAAAGGAATTGCATTGCCCCAATGTAATTTTCATAATGAGTTTCCACTGTAACATTGGATGTGTCATAGATTCATAATGATTTAAAGTATCCTGACAAGTTTGTTCATGGGCAAGGGTCCCATTATCAGCAAAATGTTTTTGTCATTTATAAGGCCACAATAAATTTGGAAGACAAGTCTTCATACTAAAAAAAAGAAAGAACTAACAATTTCCTTCAACGTTTCAGATTCAGATATAAAACAAAATCCATGCCGATGATCAAATTTAGATTATCATCATGTACAGCCTCATTAACATGATATTTAGTGGATAAATGTCATGGAAAGATTAAAATGGGGGAAAAAAAATCAAAGATAGCATTTATTCTTCAATTCATTGGTATACAATTAGTGATTTAATGCTAATAGTTTTACTGTTTTGTGTTGATGTTTATTTTTCCTTGAATTCATGATCCAACATCGAACATGAAATGAGAAAAATATTGGTCAGTTTTAGATGTTGATCTCTGATTTTTCGAGGTAGTTCCAGTATTTGATATTTCAATAGAGTCTTAATCCAAAGTGGCATAGTGTTAGTCAGTGGGAACTCGTACACATAACTGAACATTGGACTGCCTTGACCGATTCAGCAGACAACATTTGACCAAAATGAAACACCACCATTTGGTAAGGCATTAATCCTCATTACCAGGACCCTCGGAGAGGACCTTAAGCCGTCGGCCGTCTGGTTGCTTACTTGCAATACAAGCATTTACGCTTTCTTAGCAGTCAGGTAAAAAATAACAACCACAACTAGTTAATTGTATTCAACTGGCTTAAAAATAAGATGAGTTTAATTCTCTTCTTAAAGTCAATTTGGGTTCATGAATTTCTAGCATTAATCCCATTGTTCTATGTCTATTTAAAGAGAAAGAAAGAAATTTACAACATACTTTGGTAGAACAGAAAGGCTAAAAAATAAAACTTTCAAAAAAACATCAAATCTTAAATCAAAACCATGCTTCCATCTGTGCTTCATCTTCATTGGGTTATGCCCCATGTTACAAAATAGCAAAAAAGTGAAAAAAAAGGAGTGCATTTTACAAATATTGAATGAAAGACTACCTAGTATGCCTACATTTTATACTCAGTACAATTTATATCGCAATCCTCATGTACATTACGTGGAAATAAAGTTTGTAAAAGTAAGAGAGAAATTTCAGATATATATTTATCAAAGGCCTCATTCTCGATTGATGCTGTATAATGTCTTTAGAAACCATCTGCATAATATTCTGACACAATTATTTTTTAACTTTTCTGTATTTGAAAGCACTCAGATCAAAGAATCCTGGTAGGGTCCTTTTTTTCCTCCCAATTTGCCATTCATACACACATTTTTTTTTTGACATCATGCTAATGATATGATATTTTATAAAAAGTAAACATAAATGGAATGATGTCATAAAATCTCTACAGGGCTACAGGCAGAAACACATTGGAATTCATTTTTACCTCATTTTACCACAATTTTAACAGTATAATAGTACTGATGACAAAAAGATACACATGCACTGTGGTTATGATTCTATTTTTCTTATGCATGGTCTGTTTTTGCAGCACTTCCAAATGATATTTCATTGCAGGAGTTTGAAGAGAATATAAATCCTTATAAATCTTCAAATTAGGAACATATTGGCAAAAATATGACATTGGCTTCCCATGAAAGATTATGTTTTAAACTTTAGTTTTTTTACAATTCAAGTGAATGTATCTCAACTTGGCAAAACATTGATCTACATTTGCCACTCTCCACCCATGTGTTAAATGGGTACCTGGTAGGATGCGAAAGCTAATGTGCTTAGATTAGCAAGTGTGTGCTTGTAAAAATGAGGCCCAGCTGAAAAGCTCCCCAGGGAGTGGAGAATGTGCATACATTGTGTGGGGGTAAGCCTGAATCCGATGACCAGGGTAATAATATGTATATCTGTAAAGCGCTTTGTGAGGGCCTTCGGTCCTGAAAAGCTCTATATAAGAACTAGCTATTATTATTATCATTAATTTCCCACATATATGACTTTTCATTAGAATGATGTAAAAGTGAAAGGAAAAATATCAGTGTTGCCAATTTGAAGAAAGACTTTCATCTAGTCTTCGAAATGATCATCTTCTCTAAAGGGCTCATTTTCAACGTGTAGTAGATGTCTGTAATATGGGTTGACATCCAGCTTGCACTCTGCACAGGGAAATTCTTTGGTAAAGAATGGCTCGTACCTGCAAAATCATAAATACAAAGATATATCAAATTATAAAATCTAATGAGAAAGACATTTATTTTCAAGTTATCAAGGTAACAAGATATTTTTCTTAAAGGGATCTGGTAACTTTGTCTCAGATTCTGAAACAAAATCCTGGATTTAGCTCATGCTGCAATGATAATTATAAACCTTTAGGTCAGTCAGGAACCCAATGATTTTTACAAGCCGATCGCCTGTCTGATTATTAAGATATTTATGATTGGAAATCAAAACAAAATGTTTGCATTTGCCTAACAGTTTTCATAACACTACAGTCTACCTGTATTGGGGAAAACGAGTATGGTAAAACCGGTCACTCAAAGATTTTTACTTTTGAGGCACTTCTTGATCATTTTGAAGCACAATTTTTTATGGCTTCAATGTTACACCATATCACAGACATTGATAACACGTAGGGCCATGCATCTCAGATTCAACGTTGTTAAATGATGCATTTAAAGTTCTATCACTTAAATGTATATATACTTTGGTGGTATTCTAAAAACTCTGTTATCTTCCAACTTTTTATTGGGGGCAATAAAAAAAGGGTGCTGCGTCAAAGGCAAAAATCTCACATTTTGTCAAATGTGAGCAAAGCAAATTTCCATTCAGGCAAACAAGAATTGAGAATGAAAATAATATTGCATTTATAATGGAAATTGAAAATCATTGAAAATTGAGAACTGACAATTTGAAATTTAAATTTAAAATATAAAAATTAAAATTAAATCAAAAATTGAATAGACAGCAAAAGAGAAAAAGATCTCAGAAGAAAACATTGTCAAAGATCACTGAACCACTTACCAGAAATTGACCGCTAGATTTCTCCCTTCCCTTTGATTGGGATAGGACTGTACCTCGTGCCACCAGAACGCTGGCATGAAGAGAATGTCGCCCTCTGTCAGAGTGCAGTTTAAAGGTCGAGCTCCACCAAATTCAGGAAATCTCTGTTCAATGAAACAAGTAATTTTAAAACACAATTTAAGGCAATTTTCATCTGACATGTACCGGTACACACAATGTAATAATCTGGAGGCTTCCTATTTTCAAGTGTATACTTTTTGTTGCCCTCCTTTTCTTGTTCAAATGTGGTTATTTACGAATGTACAATCTGATGTTTTATTCGATGTTCAAGAATAAAATGATTTGAATTGAATTGATTTGGCTTGTTCACATGACTCTGGTATCCAAGGTACATGCTCCAGCAACTTTATTCATCAAAGGTTTCAGGTTTGTGTCAGGGTTAATTGCAACTGGATTTTATGCTAAGTTTAGGGCTAGGTTTAGGTACTACTAGTACTGCCCTACCAAAGGGCACTAGCGCATCCTCTTGGTTTGGAACCCAGAAACTCCCGGTTATAAGACCAATGCTCTATCACTTATCGCCATCACACATCCTAGGTACCAGTCACTAGATTAGATTACAATTCTGCGCTATGCAGTATTATATTCCACATACTAAGAATCTTGCTCTACGATTGGTCTAAAGTAAATCACGTGACGAAAGATAGTTCGCCCATCATTGATGGGAGAAAAAAAGTTTGTTTAAAGTTTGTTTAATTGTATACGTTTGTATACGTATTGCTCTCTTTTAGTGTTCGTACGCGAACTTTCGTCACGTGCGAACTATACGGTCACACTACCATACTGCATACACTGTACGTATCATACACCGTTTGCTAGCTGTTATGAAGACTTGTTGCTCTAAAATGACGGAAGAAGTGAAATGTTTCTGATGTGGAATATAAAGCAAATAATCACCTTTTGGTTTCAGGCGATGGCAAACTATCACTTCCTCAGCGATCTGAATGTATACGCTATCTTTCCTCAGCTTCGCTTCGGGAAGATAGCTACATCCACATCGCCTCGGAAGTGATAGTGTGTCCCATCACCTTCACCAACGGTAATTATATGCTTACACCCTCTCCATTCCAGGGAGCATTCCAGCCAATCACCAAGGGCACGCATGAGCTCATTGATATCCTACCATGTACTCATTGAACGCCTGGGTGGAGAGAAGCAATGAAGATAAAATGCTTTCCTCAGGGATGCAAGATCAAAACACCGCAAAAGTAACCATAGTGTGTAATGTCCCCATCCTTCATGCTTCATCTTCCATTTTCTCTATCTTTCTCTCTCTCTCCCTCTCTTCTAGTCTCTGCTAGAAAGGTCATCGTTTCTTATTATTTCCGATATCTGTAAAAAATTATGCGTATACATTAATGTTAAAGACAACCTTTTTGTTTTGTAGCCTTGGGGGGGGGGGGGCGGCGGTGTAGGATTACCTAAGCATTCTTATACCTTTATTTTTCTATTCATATTGACGAGCACTTTTAACTTTTTTATTTATTTTTTTTATTCTCAAGGGGTCTATAAAATACAATCCATGCTTTTTTAATATCCTCCTCCACTATGTTTTCAAGCCGGACTGTGCCAATCTTAAATGATTTATTTGGATAATTGTATAATTATTGTTTAATATTATATTATTGAATTTGTACATATTGCACATTCATTTGATTATGTTACAATATGTGGAAAAATAAAGGAACCTTGAAACCTTGAAAGTGCCGTGCCAGGGTTCAAAACCATGACCTTTTGCATTCCTAGTCAAGTGATCAAACCACTCAGCTACCACCATGGCCAACTCCGAAGACGTTCATGCAGCAAAGACATTCTTTTTGCTACGATAAATGTGTCTATCACAATGTTGTCAATTACAATCAATTTCAAAGATGTGCATGAGCAATTGTGCTGGAGGTACGGTCCTTCTCAGTAAATCGACCAATATGCATGCCCACAAAATAGAGCACCTGGGGAGTGTTTCACAAAGACTAAGATCAACTTTTAGTTGAACTTAACTATGGCAGGCCATTTATGCACTAGTTGCTATCACCATTGGTCTCTCAATTATGATCTTTAGATAATGTTTTTTCAATCAACAATGAACTATCAAAAAAGGTAAATTCTGAAGATTTGTGACCCCAATTTGTAAGTCCCTTGAGAAACTAATGCCAGGAATGTTAAGAGGAACTAGTGGAATGAACAGCCTGCCATAGTTAAGTCCAACTTAAAGTCGATCTTAGTCTTTGTGAAACACCTCCTAGGTGTGCTGAGATTCAGAGAGGTATATTTGATATAAATGTCACAATAGCACATGGCGTACAACCTACCACTTCACGCTTTAAAGGGGAAGTCCATCCTGATATTAAGTTGGTTATAAGAGAAGCAGAAGAATGAGAGGAACAGGTTGGTGAAAGTTTGAGCAAATTCTGATCAAGAATACGATCGTAATGATTTTTGAAGTTGCGATCAATCAAACACATGCATGAATGATTGAAAATTGAGGGAAAATAAAAGTGTAATGATTTTGTTTAGTACAGAACAAAACTACGTCACATCAGGGACCCGTTTCACAAAGCCTTTTCAATGACAAACGACAAAAATCGGTGACAAAGCTGCTGATAACCAATCAGAAGCAAGGATTTCACTACTCAAGTCACATCTATTCTGTTAGAAATTACTTTATTACCATACTCTACTGATCTCTGAGAAGTGTCTAACTTTTTTTTTTAAGTGGCCCAAACATTGTGGAGCGTGTGTGCAGCGCTTTGTAACTGCAAGGAAAAGGCGCTATATCAAATATCTTTTGGATTGGATTATAACAAAAACTTTCATTTGACACTGATGACAAGTTTTTATGAAACACCCCCTGGACAAAGCTTTACAAACCTGATAATCAGGGTCATGAATGTCCACTGGAGACATCACCATAGAGGTACTATCCATCAGCTTCTTACGCCGGAATCTCTGAGAGCCTGGATCAAAACCTAGCAGAGCCTCAGGAATGTGGGCCTCATAGAGCTGGGTGTTGTTATGAGGTTCAAAGAGTGTCAGCTCCTTCCTGCCTCGCAGCTGAACAAAAAAATAAAAATAAAAAATAAAATAAATGTTTGGTGAATCTACTCAGCCATTAAGCAACACCATACATGTAGCTTATTTCTGAAAATGGATGGGAGGGGGGGCAAGTCATGCATGCACTGATTATGCTGTCGTCTCATTTCACGATTCATCCCTTTTTCTTGTACTGGTATCCCCCTTCTTTTTTGAGGAAAAAGCTCCCTGGCTATGAAAATCTTTACATAATAAGATCCGACAACATTCAGATTATTGAAGAATTTACAATAGCCACTATGAACATGACTGACAAAGAAAGCGGACAAAATATACAGTTCCTCAGGTAGACAAAAGAACATCCCTTCACAGCTATTATGTAAAAAGGTGAATATGCATGTGACACCTGTTCTACACATTTTTACATAATAGCAGTGAAGGGATGTTCCTTTGTCTACCTGAGGAACTGTATATTTTGTCCGCTTTCTTTGTCAGTTATGTTCATAGTGAGCAATACATTCAAAAGTATGCAAAATAAAGAAAATGATTGAGTTCTGAATAGCCATATGAACAATAAATAAACATTTCTATTGCAAGCTTTCTTTTAGGAGAAAAAACCAAAATGGTTCTTGTTGGGGCATTAGACAATTTTTGCGAAATGTCTACACTTTAAAGCCAAACTCACCTCTACTGCCTAGAATGCAATCAAACTTGGATTGTTAAAAATCATAATAAATCAGAACCTGAATCAGGCAGATAACGTTTGTTTAAATTTCCATAACTGACTGATTTTTTTACTGGCACTATGTTTATATACACCTTTCACCTGCACACCTGGGCATCCCTATGTCGCCACACACTTGCACACATCTGCAAGAATCTTCAGCAGTGAAGGAGGCAGATTATTTTGAAGAAGAAGAAGAAGAGATTTCTTCAAATATGTAATGGCAGTCAGATCGTACAGTGAGTGGTACATTTGAACTTTGACCTACATAAACACACCTGACACAGGAAGTTATCAAAGGGGTCAAAGTGAAGTTTTCCAAGAGTGTCGCCGTCGCTGAGCCAGATGTTGAGATGTCGGCGCTCAAGGACATCCTGGATGAAGGCTGGTTCTTCAACGTCCTCCTCCAACTGGGGAAAGTGTGATAGGATGGAGGAATACTCCAGATAGGCCGAGACTCTTGCCTGATCTTCATCTCTGTAAAGAGAATTCAAGGAAATGATAGGAGAAGGGAGTTTAAGGTTCCCCTTTTTTTGTGTGCTACCATTACATTTAATAGTCCTTATTTGAGAGAAGTTAGAACATATGTATATAATTTACAAAATGCAATTTAAATCATTGGGGGTTGGGTCTAAAGCAACTATTTTGCAGAACTATTACAACAACAAAAAATCTTTCAAAGTTTAAAAAGGCTTTTTCAAAATGGAAAAGTGAGATTTCCTTTTAGTTTTATCCTCTAACCTTTTAGAGCCTCCCAGAGTTCTCTTGCTCTGAAAATCTTCAGTGTTATTCTTCTTTTTTCCTTCTATTCACAGAATGATTCAGATCTACATGTATAAACACAATACATGAAATATATGCAGTCTACTGAGATTCTCAAATGTCTAAACTACATGAACATGCAGTTATCTTACCTGGGATCTCTTTGTATCTTCAAACTTCAAGGAACTCTTTCTTTCCAACTTTCACTAATGTTTCTCTGACTTTGAACATTTTTCATTTATTTCTATTCCTTTCCATTACTTTTTTTCATGACACAAACAAATGTTAAAAAGCATTATTGTTTTTGGTTTACATTCTAACAAATTCATAGAGAAAACTAAATTTGAAGCAAGATACATGATTATTTCGTTTACCAAAATACTATTAACCTTTTTTTTGTCTTTGTATCGCTGACATTTTGGATCAGGTCCAAGAACTCTGAGAACTTCAAGTTTTGTGTGGCAGGTCTGACAACAACAAGATCAGGATACAGGAGTTGACTGCTCACTTGCTCAGGAACAGAAAACTGATTGAAATCTTCCCAAAGCGAGGCCGGTTCCACTCCTTCAAAGACACCATCGGGAGCCAGCTTGATGTGGACCATCTTGTCGCCGTACAACTCGCGTAGGTACTCCATGGTCCACTTAGAGAATGCCGGCCAGTTCCTTGCTCCGTTGGGAATCACAACAGGGCGAGATCGCTTCAGGTAGTAGTTGATGAAGTCTTCTTTTGATGGACTAGAAATTCGCTCACACTCGGCCATCGGGGCATTTGACCCACTGTACTTGGTTGCATGATGATTAAAAGCCTCACGTTTGTCATTTTGAAGGCTATCATCAGAATAATGGATATCATCATTGACTGAATCCGAAGGGTTCGATTTCTTGTGGCAATTTTCTTCCTCCGACATGGAGCCACTTTCCCTTTTTATCCCTTTATCTGAACAATAACCACCGTCCTCTTTTCCGCTTGAAAGCTCTGTCATTTCTATACTTTCTGGTAGATAACGCATGTAGAACATCGTGTCTAGAATACCCCGCCTGTGAAGGCCCTCTATATTCAGCCCGCCACTAACATCCACATAAGTAAGGCATTGAATATTGATAAATTCTAACAAGTGTGTTTTAGAGATTGGACCATGATATGCTTCCCCTATCAAGAACGATTTGGGAGGAGGAATCAGGCATGTACGGTCCTTCTTGATCTGTGGAAAGGCAATTACCACATCATTTTCTGACTCAGAGAATGAATTCTTTATTCTCACACGATCATCATTTTGACCAAATGGCTCTTCAATTATACCCACAGTCACTCGAGTTTCGTTCGCAGTGCTCGGTTTGTTGCCATCCCCTGGCCCCGAAACTCCCTGCGTCCTAGCGCGGACCTGCGCTGGAAGAAAAAGCTGCCCGATTTCGTCTGCAATCTCCAGTAAATTACCATTTTTTGAGGGAAACACAGCAATGACGCATTTCTCTGTCACTTCCCTACTGATATCAACAGTTGTTAGTGTCGGCAAAATTCCACCCGCGTCACGGAGGAGAAGAAAAATTGCAAACAATGAGATAAATTTATTTCCAACGGTAGCAGCCGCCATGATTATAACTTTGTGTCACTGCGCAAGCGCAATTGCACAAAGATTAGAGAGCGGTGGCAGCAAACACGTGGCGGCATCTATTCTAGACAGATGCCTGCCATCCACTTGGCGCCGTACTTTGAAAATGATGCCTTAAAATCTGTAATCACGTGGAATTATTAAATACTTACCACTGTTTTTTTGTTGTCTCTTTCAACCTTACAATATAGCCCGAACACAGCCAGCTGTATATGACTTGTCCTAATTTTGATAAGTAATGGCACTACGTACACCCCCTGGATTAGGCCTATACCTTCTACTTGAAATCATCCCGAAATTACAATGAATTCATAAGGTTATTAAATAAACATACGTTGAAAACTATCTCCCCGTGAAATAGAAGAATAATTGTAATATTGATCATTAACAGGGTGGGTGTGGGTCCTAGGCTTTTCTCTTGGGTGGGTGGGGACATGATACTGTGTAAACGATATTGTCTTTATGTTATACCAATATGTTAAGAATTTAATTTGTGATATATCATTTTCTCTCAAGATTTTGTTTTGTATTGTGAACTGGACCCTCGGTACAACAGCTGTGCTGCACTGACACAGCTGAGCAGGGCGATCCATCCAATGTTATTTTCTCATGTTATCATGTATTTTTTTAATATATTTATATGTTTTCATATTGGTAAATCAAATCAAATCAAATCACTCTTTTTCAAAAGGAAAGATTTTAATCACTGTGCAGGATTACCAAAGGGGTTGAAAGAGCATTCCTGACATGGCAACAATGGGCAACATTCTTTGGTTTATTATCGCTAACAGTGCACAGTGGAGCCTCTTCATCCTTGATATTCGAATATTCCTGATGCCCGGCATATCCCTAGAGGGAAAGAGAAGGCGGGGGTTGTGATTTCAAGAGAGGAAAACAACTTCAACACATTACAAGGTAATGCCGGGAAATGGAAATTAAATTTAAACCACCTTTGAAGCCTCCGGAATATGCATGAAGTTAAAATACACTAATAGGCCGAAATGACTTGAGGAAGAAATTAGGTAAAATAATTTCTTTGATAATGTACGCAATTCATGTAGCCTATATCTTGATTAACAGTAATATTCTTCCTAAACCGTTAACTACACTAGGAAGTCTGGATTTATGTTTCTAGGTCGGACACCTGTCAGGAGGGCCAAGTGCCCCCCCCCCCTGCCCCCTCCTTCAAAATACGCTAGTGATACAGTAAACGTTGAAACATTTTCTTTAACGGAATCAACGCAAACTTATAGCAATAAAGAAGAGATTCTGAAACAATTATGATAATTTATATGACTTAGGATTATGGATGAAAACTGTTGAAAACGCTCCACAGAATTGATAATGCTGACTAACTTCGCGTTGAACTCTGTAATAGATTGGAGCATTCGATAATTACCATGGTAACGCCACGCGCTAAAGCTATCGGTTAATTTTATCCCCCCCCCCCCTCCCCCTCCCCATTTTCATTTTTAAAACCCTGGATCCGACTGCATTCAGTAAGAAAGGGACAGGCTTAAAACCAGTAGCATTGTCTTTATAATAGAAAGAGAGAGAGAGAGAGAGAGAGAGAGTGTGTGTGTGTGTGTGAGAGAGAGAGAGAGAGTGAGAGAGAGAGAGAGAGAGAGCACTTGTGTATGATGCTAACTGCATGCACATAAATAGACATATTAATATTAACGGTTTCTTTCCCCAAATAATTATGAATATTTAAAAAGATGACGAAAAATGAAAAAAAATTACAGATGCCTACCAATAATGCGTCAACATAGTAATTAAAAAACGAATGCCTATCAATGAGGCATTAATTATTACATCATCACTATCGATGTTTTTATCGCTTTCTTGATAGGGCTATAAAATAAGATGACGAAACCTAAAATAGTGTGTGATACAAATACAGAGACCAAAGGGCAAGTTGGTTTCGAACCTGGAACCTCCCGGTTACGAGACCACTGCTTTTCCGCTAAGCCATAGCTTTGAATTGTGTAGCTATTGTATGAGGCTGTCGGCAATTATTATGATAGTCTATGTAGCAGCGCCCAAAATACACGGGGGCGATGGGCAATTCGCCCCCGTGAGCTCCATAATCACCCCCGTCAGGTCGCCCACGGGGGCGATTGCAAAATTAAAAGTCACCCCCGTGGAATTATAAAATAAAGATTATCTTTTCTTATATAACTTTAACACAAAATGGGTATCAATTTTCAAACCTTTAACCAATGAAATGGAACTTAGATGGCGCTTTCTCTCCCATCTCTATGTAATAGGGTGCTTTAGTAACGAGACGGAAGGCAAAGAGGACGGGAGAAATCACTCAACCGAGATCAAATAATGTATGCAGTTAAGATTCTGTCTATTGAAATACTATTATTCGTATCAGGTGAATGAAATAATTTGTATTGAGGCACTTCACAGAGACGTATGCATTTAATTTGGTTACATTACGAAAATGGTCTATTGTACGGCGATACAACTCTTCCGTCGAGTTTAGGGAACGAACGCTATTATGGCCGAGACAGGTCGTGAAAATCAACAAGACGGAGACAATTCTGGTTCGCACATGCGCAGATTGATTATTTTGCTCGGTTACCCTCGTCTTTGCCTTCCGTCATTTTCGTAATGTAACCAAATTTAATGCATAAGTCTTTGTGAAGTGCCTCAATACAAATTATTTCATTCACCTGATAAGAATAATAGTATTTCAATAGACAGAATCCGAACTGCATACATTATTTGATCTCGGTTGAGTGAATTCTCCCGTCCTCTTTGCCTTCCGTCTCGTTACTAAAGCGCCCTATTACCGATACAAACGACGGAAGCTCGCAGTGCAGCTAATGCGGCCGTCAGCAGTGGCTATATTGTGGCGGACACGATTCTGCCACCTTGGCTTGACACGTAGTATTTGTCAGGATGCCCGTGTCTGGCCAGGCGCTCTCCGTCCGTTTGGACAAAATATATGCCCGTAGCTTAATGGCTGGAGTTATTATTTTACTGCTCACACGTATCTCAACAATCATTCGTCCATCGACTGCAATCGGTCACCTAAAAACGTCTTGAGCACATCATCAATCAATTGAACATCCCTCGAGCAGTCAATCATGCTTTGTCAATACTTGTCACTGATTCTCGTCCATTCGTCTAACTACGGTTTCACTGCTCCAAGAAATCAAACCAATCATGAGTTGTATGTAGAAATCCTTTAATGCGATCCAATCAACATACAGGGTAAACTCAGCACAAGTACAAGACTGGTAGTAGACTAGATGTAAGACTCAAGTAAAGGTAGGGCCAGGCCAACTATCAGGCCAACTATCAGGCCAACTATCAGGCCACCTATCAGGCCACCTATCAGGCCAGCCTCGGTGAGGCTGGCCTGTATCGGATACAGTGCAGTGGAAAGCCCTAGATACACAATTCTACCCTTACAAATAATTTCCCTTTACATAACCGTATAAAAGGACAATATTATGTCTTCGTTAGTAAAACAACACTTCAACCTAACATTTCTGCTAATCCCATAAAATCTTCACATATAATCTTCAGTATAACCCCTTATTCCTGATTAGATCACTACTATACAAGTAATATCCCCAAAAGAAACATGATAATTGCACCAACATGATCAAAATATGTAATTTATGCTCATTTTCCTTCAGTTTGGTAATTGCTAAATCAACGATGCACCATATTGCTATAGCGCATGCTCGTACAACAGAAAATGCTTAATCTTCGTCCAATACTAAAACACTGATTTGTTACACTATACTGCGCCGGTAGTACCGATAGGCACGCTGACGCCCAATATCTGCTGGAGCTGGAGTCGATCGCGCAAGGACTGAAACATTGAGAAGTTTTTCGTTGTGAAAAGAATTCTCTGAAATATAAAGAACAACAAATAATGTAACTCGACCAACAAATAAATATTGAGAAGAAGATCAGCAAAGATGTTGCAGGGACGTTTCGTTGTATCGTTCTCGAAAATAATCCTCGTCGGAATTCATTTTACCCCCCCCCCCCCCGTCCGCGCGAATCGCGGAAGCTTTGACGTTTCATTAAATCAGTAGAGAAAGAAGACGAAAATATGAAAATAATATTTTGCCTTGATTAAAAAAAAAATTGAAAATTGTATCAGAATTAAACAGGGAGAAGGAAAGGGGAGGAAATTAATCAAAACAAAGATTGAAGAATCCAATTCAGTGTTCTTTCGTGATGCATACGAATGAAAGTACATACAAAGGTGAAATAATAAATTGAAGAGCGATGATCAATCAATTCTTTGACGTTGATTGATTGAATAAAAAATAATGAAAAAATATGGTCTGAAGGTCATATATCTTCGAATATTAGAAAGTTTCATCCACCATCATGTTGTAGAACACTATTTGCAATTTATAATGCGGTGACTTGTCGGTTACGAGCAGAAGGTCATTTCAGGCTTCTATATTCTATAATACTATCAACAGATATCTGGATAGAGACAATTCAAGCTACGAGTCAGAAAGTATATCATCATCTCACAGAATTCTACTCGAACACCGCATCGAAATTCTTTTCACCCTTTTTTTTCTTCTTCCTCTTTTTTTGGTCCCTTTTAGCTCTTCTTTTTTCCTTTTCCTTTCTTCTCTCTCTTTTTTTTAGCGGGGGCGGGGGGAGGCAAAGGCCTTTTGCCCCAGTCCCATCCGCAACTTGTTGGCGGGAAAATTTCTTTTCTTTACTTCTTTCTCAATTTTCCTTCCCTTTATCTCCTCTTTTTCTTTTTTCTTTCCGTTTCCTTCCTCCCTTCTCTCTTATTTTGTTTTATTGGGGGGGGGGGGGGAGGCAAGGCCCTTTCGCCCCCCCCCCCCCGATTTCCTCCTTCCTCCTTTTCTTTTCTTCTTCCTCTTCTTTCTTTCCCTTTCTCTCCTCTTTCCCTTTCCCTTATTTTCCTTCTCTCTCTCTCTCTCTCTCTCTCTCTCTCTATCTTGCAGAAAGGGGGGGGGGGGAGGCAAGGCCCGCTCACCCCCGCTGGATCCG